GTCTGCGTATAAGGCGATTTTATGTTCCATATTCCCCATCATTATTCCTCTTACACCTCCATGTATCCGAATGTTTTCAGCTAATGGCTCTAATGCTAAGGCAAAGAGGAGCGGACTGAGTGGACACCCCTGGCGTACACCTCTTGCCACAGGGAACGGTTCAGAGCGCCGACCATTAGTTATAATAATAGCTGTTGGTGAATGATATATGGTTCTGATCCACTTAAGGAAGTCCCCCCCCAGCCCAAATCTCCCCAGCACGTCAAACAAGTAACTCCACTCAACCCTGTTGAAGGCCTTTTCGGCATCAAGTGAGACGGCCAGCGCCTTCTGTTTCTGCTGAGAAGTACACTGTACAATATTCAAAAGTCTTCTCACATTGCTGCTTGAGTAGCGTCCATGAACGAAGCCTGTCTGGTCTGAGTTTATGAGTGTTGGGAGTAGTTTCTCCAGGAGTTTTGAAAGTAATTTGCTGTCAACTGAGCTCAAACTAATCGGCCTGTAGGAACCACACATATCAGGGGGTTTATCTGTCTTCAAAATGAGTTATTGGAGAGGTTTAAAGTGGGGGGGAGACAGCCCCTGTCAAAGGAATCCGAGTACATATCTGTGAGGGGGCTAACTATTATTTTACTAAACTTTTTATAGAACTCAGGACCAAAGCCATCTGGTCCCGGGGCTTTACCTCCCTTGAGAGTACATATGGCTTCGGACACTTCTTCCTTAGATCTGCTTTCTGCTCATCAGATAAGGATGGTAGCTTGATTTTGTTAAGAAAATTTGCCCTAGCCACCTCAGAAGATGTACAATCTGAGCTATAGAGATCTTTATAAAACAGCATCATTGTATGACTTACAGTATATCAGCTGATTTGAGGCGCCTGGACCCATTTCTGTCTATTAGAGAGGGAATTACATTAGGTTCGGTTTTGTCTCGAGCAAGACGTGCGAGTAATCTGCCAGGTTTGTTGCCTGATTCAAATAACCTGTGTTTAGCAAAAAATATTTGTGTCTCTGCCTTTCTGGTTAATAGCTGATTTAAAGCACAACGTGCAACATCCAGCTGTTTCCCTAGAGAGCTATTGCGAGATAATTTGAACTCAGTCTCTAGACTGTGTATTTTTCCCTCTAGGTCAAGCTGTCTCTTTATGGCATCCTTTCTCTGCGCTGATGTAAAAGATATAATCGGCCCACGTATGTATGCCTTTCCAGATTCCCACAGGATAGAGGGGCTTATATCTGGAGTCTTATTTACAGCCATAAATTGCTGCCACTCTGTAGTAATATGCTCTACAAACTGATTATTACTTAATAAATAAGGGTTTAGACGCCAGTGTCTGCAGGCAGGATCTCTGTAGGATAGGATAATACTTTATTGATCCCCAGAGGGGAAATTCGGGCGTTACAGCAGCACAGACAAGAAAGCTCAAATACACATTAAACAGAACAGATAAGATAAATAAAAATAAAAACAGGGGGTATATACAGTACAAAAATGAATGTTGAAGTTAACTGGGGGGAATTGAGAATTGAGACAGTATTTGAAGATAATGACAAAATAAAGTGACAAGTGATGCTTAAAGTGACTTGGTATGATAAATAAATAGCAGTAATGTAAGCAGCAGAGAAGAGAGGCAGTGTTGTACCACAGTAATGCAGAGTGCAGTTATATAATATAATGTAGTATAATATAATATAATATAGTGCAATATGAACAATATAGTGTAATATAATGAAATGTTATTTAATATAGACTAGTATAATAATATAATAAAAAAATATATAGAATGTACAGTATGTATATATATATATATATATATATAGATGCTAAATGATAATAATAATACAATGATAATAATGAAGCAGGTCATGTGGGTAGTGTTTTATGGGGGTGAAGTTTTGTGTCAGGATGGACTGTTATTGTTGTCATAGGCTGCTGTTGTACAGTCTGATGGCAGTGGGCACAAAGGAGCGCCTGAAGCGTTCTGTTTTGCACCTGGGGGGGGATGAGGCGTTGGCTGAAGGAGCTGCCCATCTGCCACAGCTCACCATGTAGAGGGTGAGAGGAGTTATCCAGGATGGATAAGATTTTGTCCTTCATCCTCCTCTCACCCACTGTCTCCAAACTGTCCAGATCCAGACCCACTACAGAGCGGGCCTTCCTCACCAGCTTGTTCAGCCTGTTTGCCTCACCAGTCTTGATGCCACCCCACCAGCACGCCACAGCAAAGAAGAGGGCGCTGGCCACCACAGACTGGTAGAAGGTCTTCAGGAGTCTGTTGCAGACACTGAACGATCTGAGTCTCCTCAGGAAGAACATCCTGCTCTGTCCCTTCCTGAAGAGGGCGTCAGAGTTGTGAGACCAGTCCAGTTTATTGTTGATGTGTAGGGGGGGGAGATAATAACACTTACAGGTGAATGATCAGAAAGGGTTCGGGATCCAATTTTACAGTCCACTATCCTATCCAAGACAGTTCTTGAAGAAAGAAAATAATCTATTCTGGAAAAAACCTGATGAGGGAATGAAAAAAACGTATAATCTTTATCTAAGGGATGTAACACCCTCCAGACTTCATACAAATCAAGGTCACCAATAAATTCACCTAATTTTGCACTTTTTTTGGAGAGAGTAGAACGGGGGGGAGAAATATCAGTATTAGGATTAGGCACACAATTAAAATCACCTCCCAAAAGTATGTATGAAGAGGAGAAAGTTGCCATATCTGAGAGAAGCTGTGGAATAAAGGAGGCTTCAAATGCGTTAGGAGCGTATAAGCATCCAATGACAATATGTTCACCATATAAATAGCCAGACAGAAGTACATAGCGACCCTCCTTATCCGTTATAGTTCTATCAAGGGTAAAGGGCAGGCTACGATGTAGAATAATTGCAACCCCCCTGCTTTTAGAGTTATGCGACGAGTAAAATACTTGGCCCACCCAGCCCCTCCTGAATTTTATATGTTCTGCATCTGAAAAGTGGGTTTCTTGAAGAAGTGCTATTTGGCATTTCTCTTTCTTAAGGAAAGATAAGATTTTCTGGCATTTGATGACGTGGTTAATGCCCTTCACATTAAGTGAAATAATTTTCAAATCACTCATATAATTATTACTTTCTCTGTGTTAAGTGGGAGCTTAGACATGGTAATAGAATGCAGATAACCAAAGGGCCATAAGTTGATCATACACAGAAAGGCTGGAGTGTAGAAATACAGTAAACCACAAAATAACAGAAAAGAAAAGACTGCCTGTGAAAAACCACCCCCAAACGATAGATTAAACCCCAAAATAAAAAAGAACCCCTCAAGAACAAGAACAGAATCAAACAGCAGCCAATCACTGGCAATACGTGTCCTGGGACGAGTGAAGCAGAGAGGTATCTCTCCACCACTAAGAGAGAAGGACGCACCAGCTGTAGGCATATCCATCCCACACCTGAACCTCTTTCTCCACATCCCTCCCCCCCAGCCTATCATAAACATCGATATGATCAAACCCCAGTAACGTAATATTTGGAAAAATATGTATGCATGATATATGAGTATCTACATGCTTACCATAATATGAATATCTATATATTTTTTACCTGCTCGGGAGTAAATCCTCTCCACGTAACTTCTACACAGAATAGAACCGTAGAAGGGAAATAATAACAGTTTCGGAAATGAAACACCAACACTTACGCATTTTGCTTTTCCCAAACGGGAATGTCCGTTGAACGTGATAGAGGTAAACCAGGAGAAGTATCTATCAGTTAATGTCCGACATAAGTCGCCGGGGTCTCCTCCTCATCTATGCATTGCTGCTCCATGCGTAATGACCATCAGCCTGGAAAAAATGTTCATCTCTGCTGCGTGTGCAGAATATAGACATCAGGTGTCCCCTGAGGTGGCACCATTCCTGCTCAGAAAGTCATCAACCTCCCGCGGACTTTTAAATGTGTGTTCCTCGCGATTGAAGGTGAAGCATAAGCTGGCCGGATAGCGCATTTGGAAACGTATTCCTCTCCCAATAAAGCGCTCACATGTACCGTTAAATTGGTGTTTCCCTCACCTGGGTAGACAGATCCTGACGGATGTGAATCCTGGTGCCCTGGAAGATCAGCTCACCCTTCTCTCTGACCGCTGCGAGAATCTTTTGTTTGTCGCCGAAATTGTGCAGTTTAATGATAACAGGCCTGTTATAACCCTTCTTCGGCAGGCCGAGGGCTCTGTGCGCCCTGTCAGTCTTAATGGTTCCACGTTTGGTCTCTAGCCCCAGCGTGTCTGGAAGCCACGTTTCAAAAAACTTGACAGCCTGCCTCCCTTCTGCACCTTCTTTCAGACCGATGACTCGTATGTTGTCTCTGCGGCTCCTGTTTTCACTGTCTTCGGCTCGGTCGGTTAAAGTTTTAACTCTCCGCTCAAGTTCAGCCAGCTTGTTCTCCAGAGAGGCAGTGCGGTCTTCGCCATCAGAAATGCGGCACTCTGTCTCCGTTATACGTTTAGTGTCGTCTCCAATGCGGGTACTCAATTTGTCCAGAGAGGACTTCAGTTCAGCAAATTTCAACTCCATTAAGGCGCTTATCTTCTCCGTAATTCTGGGCAATAGCGTTAGCCACGTTGTCTTCACGAAGCGTGCCGTCACTATCTTCCATGCTAGCTTCAGTGTTAGCCGTGTGTAATTTCTTTGCTTTGGAGCCAGTTCTTCTCGAGGATTCTCGTGTATTGATGTTTCCTTCAGCTCCAGACATGTTTCCCAGTAAAAATGACTGAAGTAGCCGGGGTTTAATCAGTTAAAAATAAGCAATAATTGGCCTTAGAGGTAGGAGGTAGGCAAAAACGAGCCTCTCACTCTGAGTGCATCACGTGACCCCCCCTGTGTTCATGTTTGAGCTTGTTTGTCATGTGGCTTTAGGTTTCCTCATGAATCAGATCTTTCTCTGCACACCTCCCTCTTAACCCCTCTGAGGTCATGCGGGGTATCACTCTGCTTTGACCTCGTCGTCTCTCCGTTCTGCAGGGAGTTGGACTCAGCCATGGAGCGTCGTCTTGAGGAGATGGAGAGGAGGCTGAAGGAACATGTGGACCGTCGTCTCGATGCTATCGAGCAGAAGTTAGAGAAGTCCCTGCTGAGCGTCCTCAACCAGGGAGCAATGAGCAGCCCAACAGGAAGTCCAGTGTCCACGGCGCCGCCGGAGCAGACTGCCCCGACCCCGGCCGTGCACTAACCTCAGAACCTCTAAAAGACTAACATGAAGCCTTTGTGCCCCTGCTCCCTCTAAAACTACACTCTGACCTGAGAGGCGGAGCAGGAGGCGGAGCGGACACTAACAGAGAAACATTAAAGCAACTTAATGAAAGCAATAATCTGCTGAAATGTAAAAGTGTATTAAATCCATCTTTCAAGATGGATGCTTTGTAACGGTTTGCTTCACTTGGACCTCTGCCAAAACAGCAAATGTTTGAAACTCTGTTACCCTAACCCGGAGACCACAGTGACCCGAGGGATGTGGTCTGACCCAGGCCCAGATTTATTTACAGTAAGAGGTCCATGTAGACACTCTGATCCTGACCAACAGTTAGTACTGAACCTGCACGGATCAGCTGATTCCTGTTCAGTTAGTCAACCGACATCTGGTTTACAGATTGTCTCGTATGAAGGTTATCACAGTTTAACCCTTAACCCCCCCCCCCCCCCCCACAGAGTTTATAGATGTTTTAACATGCAATCAGTAATCTACTGTAAGGTAACATAAAGCGTACCTGTAAAGATTCTGTGTTGACTGGTGATGTTTTTAACTGCAGTTTAAAGAAATTAAAACTATATTTATACTGACTCACATGATTTACTCTGAAAGAAGGAAAGAGACGATGCTACAATGTTTACTGTTCAACATCGAGGCTGCTGACTCACAAACATCAAACATGAACGTGTGCGTGTGTGCGCATGTGCGTGAGTATGTGTGTGTGGGAGAATGGTAATAAAGGAAAAAAGTTGCTGAAGAGTTTCCAGAAAGTTCAAATGGACGCAGCCAAAGCTTCCCGCGGTTCTTCCAGTAATGCTGACTCATGAGTCCCTGAAAGTTTTCTGAGGAGAAGCGGAGCTGAAGACTTCTGGACAGGCTAACGGGGTCATTCAAAAGGTTAAATTCTAATCAAATGGTCCACTTTTATTCGATCAAGGATCCTGTAAAGCACCAGTCAGTGAGCTGTGTAGAGAGTGAGATGATAAAGGTATCTTACTATCTGATCATTAAGGAAACATGCTATGTTGAAGTGCTGGCTTCTCTGACAACAATGCAGCAGCCAGTATGTCCTCCTTCTAACTTTAGATTCTGCTCCTGAATGCTCTGGATTTGTTTGGACCAGAGAAGGTAGGCGCTTTAAGACACGCCCCCACACGGCCCGTTTTGGACGCCCCTCGGTTTGCCAGAAATGAGAGCAGTTATCAGGTCAACAGGTGTTGCAGCGATGGAAGCGGGCAAGAGAAGTGGTTCAGATAGAAGTGATTGTACCCGACCTAAAAAGCCTCTGCATGTTTCTAATAAGCTCCACGAGCAGAAACGTGCTCAAACTAGGATCAATATTGGAGATGCTTTTGAAAAATGGAGAGAGGTTAGAACACAGAAAGGTTTACAGACCCATGCAGAGCTGGATAAACACTGAAGCTTCAGAGTCCACCACATGGTGACCTGAGTGAGCATCCACTCTAGAGAGGAGGGGGGGGGGGAGACAGCTCTCTATGATGTTTAGAATTTAGACTGCAGTACCCATTTTAAACACTAGAGGTCAGATCATTATTCATCCTTGCTGTTTGAGATCATGAGCTGTTGGTCGTTAAATCAAAATGTAAATAAAAACAACATTTTAAACAAATTATTTTATTTTATTTTAAAAAAAACACTTGAAGACAAAAACACTTTGGAAAAAAGTTCCAAAGAGAAACAGAAGTGACCTGAAGGCGGCGCCTTTGAACATAAACGACCTGTGGTGACATCAGAAGAAGAACTCTATCTAACATGGTGGCAGGGAGGCGGGGCTTCCGTTCTCAGGGTTGAAGAGAAGACGAGAGGTATTACAGGGTCTTTATTCATTGTGTTGCCCGGACACAAACACAACCCGATTGGTTGCTTGGTTTTTCAAAGCGTTCATGATTGGTTGAAAAACACTGAGAGCCAGCTCGGGATTGGTCAACTGGTCGGGTTGTTGAGGTGATGGTCAAGGTCAGGGCTCGATCTCCTCGGGGACGATGGTAAGTATGACGTCCTCGTTTCCTCGCCTCACCACCGTTCGCAGCTGATCGTCCCGTTTAATAGCAGCGCTGACATCACTGGCCGAGGTGATTCGCTCGCCATTGATGCTGATGATGACATCACTTTCCTGCAGGCCAGCCCTGTGATTTAAAAAGTAGATATGTTAAACATGTGTCATGTCAGTTGGATTTCCAGACTGGATGGGAAGTGGACTGACTGGGTGGGAAGTGGACTGACTGGATGAGAGGTGGACAGACTGGGTGGAAAGTGGACTGACTGGATGAGAGGTGGACTGACTGGGTGGAAAGTGGACTGACTGGATGGGAAGTGGACTGACTGGGTGGAAAGTGGACTGACTGGATGAGAGGTGGACAGACTGGGTGGAAAGTGGACTGACTGGATGGAAAGTGGACTGACTGGGTGGAAAGTGGACTGACTGGATGGGAAGTGGACTGACTGGGTGGAAAGTGGACTGACTGGATGGAAAGTGGACTGACTGGGTGGAAAGTGGACTGACTGGATGAGAGGTGGACAGACTGGGTGGAAAGTGGACTGACTGGATGGAAAGTGGACTGACTGGGTGGAAAGTGGACTGACTGGATGGAAAGTGGACTGACTGGGTGGAAAGTGGACTGACTGGATGGAAAGTGGACTGACTGGGTGGAAAGTGGACTGACTGGATGAGAGGTGGACTGACTGGGTGGAAAGTGGACTGACTGGATGGAAAGTGGACTGACTGGGTGGAAAGTGGACTGACTGGATGAGAGGTGGACTGACTGGGTGGGAAGTGGACTGACTGGGTGGAAAGTGGACTGACTGGATGAGAGGTGGACAGACTGGGTGGAAAGTGGACTGACTGGATGGAAAGTGGACTGACTGGGTGGAAAGTGGACTGACTGGATGAGAGGTGGACTGACTGGGTGGAAAGTGGACTGACTGGATGGAAAGTGGACTGACTGGATGGGAAGTGGACTGACTGGGTGGGAAGTGGACTGACTGGATGGAAAGTGGACTGACTGGGTGGAAAGTGGACTGACTGGATGGAAAGTGGACTGACTAGGTGGAAAGTGGACTGACTGGATGAGAGGTGGACTGACTGGATGAGAGGTGGACTGACTGGGTGGAAAGTGGACAGACTGGGTGGAAAGTGGACTGACTGGGTGGGAAGTGGACTGACTGGGTGGGAAGTGGACTGACTGGGTGGGAAGTGGACAGACTGGGTGGAAAGTGGACTGACTGGGTGGAAAGTGGACTGACTGGGTGGGAAGTGGACTGACTGGATGGGAAGTGGACAGACTGGATGGGAGGTGGACTGACTGGGTGGAAAGTGGACTGACTGGGTGGAAAGTGGACTGACTGGGTGGGAAAGTGGACTGACTG